GTGTATATATTTATATAACATATATTTATATCTATAAATATAGAAATATCACATATAAAAATATATATCTACGTATATATGTGTGCGTGTGTGTGTGTGTATGTAAGGGTGTGTGTATATACGTATAGATATATAAAAGAAAAGAACAAAACAAAATTAACACAGATAACAGTCAATTCCAAGACCACATCAATTTGGTACGCTCAAGAACCCTAGCCACACCACCTCTCATTTTGGCAACCTATGTTTTGAAGAAATGGAACACAATAAAAGAAATGACAAATTCTGACTTGAAGTATCCCAAACATATAGTTTGATAATCACATACTGGAGGCATGTATTTTGCTAGTTATTTCAAATGAAGATCTTAATACTAACTGCACATACGTTCAACAATAAGATATTGATCCACGATTGTGTGCAGGTGTATGCCAAATGCCCTTCAGTAGAATATGACAAATACAGAATTACTACAAAGTCTTATTTGAAAGTACATAATTAATTTTTTTTCCTACTCACTATGTTTACCAACTGGATAAGACGTTCTAGAAGTGAAATTTATGCATTTCATATTCTAGTTTATTCCTCTCCATAAAAACACATCCCTTTGTGTTCATATTATGACTATTTAAGTCAGCCACATGAACACTAATCCATATAACAGCTAAGAAGCTCGGTTATGAGAATAGAAAATAGAACATAGAAACTCTGTGGTTTCACTTCCATGAATAAATGTTCATGTGTATAGCATAACTGACTTTGTAGTGCTGTTCTCTCATAGAAAAGACTTAAATGACTATTTCTTGAAATACTGTTTTTCAGTAATCCAAAAATTTAAACAACTGAATTACTTGGATTTGCTTCCAGATAATCATGTTAAAGAGATAAAACCAATTTAAAATAAAAATCATACTTCCCTTTAAAATATATTATTACACACAACAACCATTAAAAGTCTATATAAATTACAAATTTACTTCCTGTAAAATACAGTATTTTTATGAATCAGCTTTGTTTTGTTAATGACTGGTGCTTTTCCTTAATACACAATATACCTGATTCATCTATAAACCGATAGAAAGCAACTGTTATGTACAAAAAAGGAGGGTAGGGACATACAAAATCATAGATACATAGATGTAACTTCAGAGATATAAAAATACTTCCCAATAATAATGGAAAACATATTTCCAAGACAAATATTACAGAGAAAACTATTTTAACATCAAATTGGATTTTTATTTAATTGGCAGTGTTCCTGTAAAATGATCAGAATCTTTCAGCAGAATAAATCTGTTCTACAAAACAAAAATATGGAAGTAGTTTTAGGACTGGAACTAAACAGGAAAATTCCAGTAATACTTGCTGTATTGGAAGACGCTCACAAAGCACATGCAGTTCACTGCTTCTAGAAAGTATCCTCCAAAGTAAATGCTAACAGCTTGAGTATGCAAAGATAATAATTACCCAACCATACACTGATATTAAACCTCAGCTAACACATAATTTCCTTAAAATTCTCATATTCTTTTACAGTCCTACGCCTTACTTGACTACATTTTGTGTCCTGAATTAAATCTTCATTAAACATAGCTGTAAAATGCATTGACTATGACATTTTGATATAATTGTTCAAAGACGCTCCAAGGCAAAAAAAAAAAAAAAAGAAGAGATATCTCTAAGTACCAATAAAGGTTATCCTCAGCAATGCAAAACTTTTCAGTCACTATGTGCTATAGATTACATCGGAGAATATTTTTTGATTTTCAGGTACTTCATGACAGCTTAAGAAAAGAAAAAACCTATACTCTTGTGTTCTATGGTGTGAAAAATGTGAAAATATCCACAGAATTAGTTTTCATTAAACTAATAAAGATCCCTGTGAGTTTCAAATACAGATAATACTATAACATTTGCTGAGTTTCAGTTTGCACTTGGAAACGGATGGTATCCTTCAAATGACAAACCCCTCTCATTTTACGGAGACCAATTTTTACAGGTTCTTTTCTGCTAATAATCATAGAATGGTTTGGCTTGGAAGGGACCTCAAAGATCATCTAGTTCCAACCTCCCTGCCACGAGCACGGACAACTTCCACTACACCAGGTTGCCCAAAGCCTCATCCAACCTGGCCTTGAACACTTCCAGGGATGGGGCAGCCACAATTTCTCTGGGCAACCTGTTCCAGTGCCTCACCACCCTCTGAGTGAAGAATTTCTTCCTTATATCCAGTCGAAATCTGCCCTCTTTCAGTTTAAAGCCATTTCCCCTTGTCCTGTCACTACACGCCCTTGTAAAAAGTCCCTCTCCAGCTTTCCTGTAGGCCCCCTTTAAGTACTGGAAGGCTGCAATAAGATCACCCCGGAGCCTTCTCTTCTCCAGGCTGTTCCAAGTTCTCTGCATCTCAAAAAAACGCAACATTCTTAGTACCACTGAAGACCCATGCCAGGCAGAACAAGCTAACAGGAATTCAGATTAAGCAATTGGCCTTTATCTTGTTGTAGTTTGTTTACTTATAAAAGTGGATGAGCTTTGCACAGACCTGTGTGTCGATGTTGTCTCTGTCAGGTAGCATTATTAATATTATAATTGCACAAACCTGTTTTATTTTCGCCAATTACTCTGAAAAATACCAGAGACGGAGAAAAAAAAACTCCCTTCAGCATCTGGTTCCTGAAGTCAGTTCTGGCTTCAGACAGATGGAAGAAAGGCTTATGCTCAAATTGGAGCCTTCAGAATCTATTTATTTATTCTGTTGCTGGAACGGGAAGAGAAGAGAATTACTACCTGGAAATGCTGTTGCCATCAAACGGGAAAATACTGTCTGCAACTTTCCACAGCTTCTAGAAGCATTTTGCCAAGTGGTGAGCATTAGTAACCACGGCCTCACATTGACTCCAACAGTCCACAGGCAGCTTATCAGCAAACACTGAAAATTAATTCCATTTAATGCACTAGTATTTTGCCAACAAAATCCTTCAACTCAAAAAGTTTCAACTTACAAACTATTTGTTGATTATTACACCTTTTGCTAGGCCTGATCAGCCTAGTCTGTAAACGTTCAAAATGCTAATTTGAACAGAGAATAAAATCTATTCTTCTCTCACCTACACACACTTCTACATACACCACAGATAAAAATGCCCAGAGGTATGACAGCATGAGTAAGAGTGGACAGAAAATGGAGAAAGAAGTGGGGAAAAATATGTGAAAGAATGCCTCTGGGTTCCCAGTTCTCACTCAGTTCAGCAAAACTCAATGAGGGAGTAGGAAGACCCCGCTTTACACAGAGGCAAAATCTTGCAAACCTTAAGCTATTTTTGAGATGAATATACTACAAAACTGAAAGAGGCTTAGTACTAACACTGTATTCTTTCAAAACTATCAACAATTTTAACTATAACTCCACCTTTATGGAGCCTTTTCAGCACTAATGAAAACATTCATGTAATTGCTCTGTGTTGTTGCACTTTAAAAAGACCGATATGCTACTACTCCTTTAATACTTTGTGCCCTCTAAGTCAGTAGGAATCAAGATAGCGTCTCCTGATGAACAGGATCACTTTCTTGGAGACATAGTTCTACCCATCAATTTGAAGACTATCATACTGCAAGTAAACATGATGTTCTCATTTCTTAAATACTTAGAACATCCTTGATGTCTCAAACACAGCAGTGTTTCTCTGTCATGCAGATTCTCCTCCAATCAGACCAAGCTTAACAGCAGAGTACCTCCCACCATGTGAAACAATAACTTCAACAAATGCAAACCAGATACTAAGGTAAAAAGTATGGTGAGCTTCCTAGAATAACATCAGGTGGAAAAAAATATGTGCATTTGCCTGACATACTGTTAAGAAGCCTTTGGCAGCAGGGAAGAATTACTGCCATTATCTTTAACAATACAGATCGTTATTACAGATGAAATATGTAATACAGAATACAACAAATACAGATGAAAAGCTACTAGGATCACACTCAGTTTTATAAATCTAACACCAGCAACCCCACTCCCCAACAACCTCTAAAAATGTCCAAAGATCAAAACTACTCTTGTAGTTATTTAATGAAAATTTAGAAGTATCGAGGCATAGGGAGAAAAAAGTGCATTTATCTTTGAGCCCTTTCATGTCTGCAAACAAATATTGCTGTAAGTGTTTTAACTATGTATGCTGGTTTTGGTTGGGATAGAGTTAATTTTCTTCACAGGTTGAATACCTGCCTGACGATGGGTAGTAGTGAATGAATTCCTTGTTTTGATTTATTTGCACGTGCAGCTCTTGCTTTATCTCAACACAAGAGTTTTCTCACTTGTACTCTTTCAATTATCTCCCCCATCCCACCGCGGGTGGGGAGTGAGCGAGCGGCTGTGTGGGGCTTAGTAGCCAGCTGTGGCTAAACCATGACACCATTATATGCTCTACTACTAGCATATCTTAATACATTTTAGCCACTTTGCATAGCTAAACATTACTGAGAGTAGATCAGAATTTCTGAATGCTTCACAATTCGTGCTTGCACAATTAAGTGCAAGCAGTAGTCATTAAGTGCAAAAAAAACAAGATGAAATATGTTTGATGAACAAAGGTTTTAGGAATTAATTCGGAAAATTGCAGCTAAGAGATCAAAATGAGAAAAACAATTGCTTTTTGAGCCGAAAAGCAGTTAAAAGCTGTACTGTAACTTTTTATGACACAGTATCCCCTTGTGATTTCACTGCTAAGGAAGATTTACATTCGTGTTTAGCAATGCATTTGTCACTGTCAACCGTATTCATGTTCCCTGTGCTGTAACTGATGGTGGTGAACCTCACTCCATTTCATCCTTCCTCAAATCTAATTTTTCCCAAAAGCTAAAAATTAATACAGGCATCTTATTCTTCCAAAACATTAATTTGATATTGACTAGGGAAGTCCAAACAAACTCTCTAAAGTAGGAGCTAGCATCTCCCGTAAGTAGACTATGCTAAAAAAAATTCTCCAAAACAAAGAAAACACACGAGATGCAAAAAATCCTAGTTTCAGCATTTTAGAATGAAAAGGCCAAATTCCAGATTTCTGTGTTACACGTCGTAATTTTGTAAAGCTTATAAGACTTGAATTCAAAAATGGTGGTTTGTTTTTTTTTTTTTTTAAGGTAAATAATAAGAAATCTAATCCCTGGAAAATTCAGTTGCATTGTCCTAATACTCTCCGTCAAGAACACACGTAGCTACCACTTCCCTAACATGCTGTATCTTTCCAGAAACAGATGAAATTAGCTGTATCATAGTGTCTCCCATGTAAGATACGTGTATAAAAGCATTGGCTTTTAAGTGATTTTTCTGTCTCAGTAGACTATGACTGAACTATACCTATGATATAAGGAAAGCTCTGAACATCAGCTGCGACTGATTTGAAAGCAAAACATACAGTTATGAGGTCACTGTAAAATGTTAAGTGAACTTGGAATTTTATTAGGCAGAGTAGAGGTTCGAGAGCATCAGTGAAGAAGGCAGGCCAAAAGAAGAGAAGACTTTAATGAGTTTAACTCCTAACCTGTTAACGAAAGATTAGTGATATTTGTGTGATGAAGTAGTCAAACAGAACAAGCAGAAAAAGGTCTGGTTTTAATATGAAGGCATATATTAACATACACTTAGCATCTCTCCATGCTGAATTCCCAGGCAGAATTTATTTCAAAATGAAAAACAATGGATTATTACAAAATAATTGTGTATTTCAGGATGCCAATATCCACACTTATTTGGCATAGATAACAAGGTTTTATTTCTAAACTGCTAGTTTGTAAACTCAGCGTAACAAAAACAGCTCATGAGAAAAATCAGCTTAGAGGAAGGCTAATGGGTTAAAAATATGGAGATATGAGATGCTTTCATGTTTTTCTTATTTTCTGTTAACTGACCATAAATTCCTAATGCCTTTGAAGATATTCAGACAACTTTTAGTATCAGTGGGAGATGTACCCAACTATATTTCAAGATCTGATTCTTAATTTATTTCCACCTTCTTACACCTGTATGGAAAACAGAAACCTCCTAGTTTCACGGGAAATTTGTGAGGCTATCTAAACTAAAAACTGTTTCCTATTTATACACTGCAGTGGAAAGGTATGTAATGTACTTGAGATAAAGATGTCTGTTCTTCAAGCTGTTAGAGCATCCGCTCCTAAAAGGAAGAAACCGATACGGAGTTGGCTTGTACACTGCAGTGAAGTGGATAAGCTTTACTGGACAGAAAGAAAACTGTTCCACTCAGCTGTGGAAACCACCTGCTAGGTCCCGAGAAAATTAAACGGAAAAAATGTCATGACAGCTTTTTTCTATGAAAAATCAACTAACGAAACCTGCTTTCCTACAGATATATGACCACCTTCTCTAAAATCACCAGTTTTCTACTCAAGTTCTCAGTGATGCCTCCAGTGAAAAACAGCAGATAGTGTTGCTAGTGCAATCTACATATATAGTAAATAGAAAAACATTATATAAATAATAAATAGCTAGAGGTTAACACTGTAACACAGAAGCAACTTCCAATTCCTTCAAATATAGTTGTAATTATTCAGAGGGTTTGAAAACAATATTTACCATACATACAATGAACTATACATGGTATTTACCTGCATGGAAGTCTATGCCCACAGCAAATGAAGTTCCAGATACAGGCATTAAAGCATCCATTTTATCATTTGGATCAAGAGGAATTCCTCTAACTCCTTCATGAACAGAATACATAAGAAATGATTCAATACCTATGGTAAAAATAAAATAGGCAATGAGAGCAAAGTGGACGCTTTTAAAATTAAAAAGACTTGAGGAATTAACATGCACTAGACAGTGTTCCAATACTGCTCCATAGTTTTCCAGAACGATAACTCCATTTCTTTTTAAAAAACATCCATGAATTATTACTGCGTATTTCTAATTAAATGATAAATGCAGTCTTACAAAGGGAAGGGAATCACTGTCCATTTCAAGCATCACCTTAGAATTAATTAGCAGTAATGAAAGTCATCATTTAAGAAGAAAATGTTTTTTAATTATGAGAAATTTAAGAATATTTTCAGAGCACATCTGTACTTTCTGTAGATATTCGGCAAGAGACAATTTTAAAGAACATGTAAAAAGCAGGACTCAAGACTAAACTGTCTTTTGAGGCACTGGATTCATCTCATCTCATTTAGTCTTCCATGCTTCCTTTAGACAATAGAAATACACAGTTTTAGTGAATAATGTAGTTGATGTATTTTAAATATCTACTTTCATCTTAGATTCATCACTCTCTAGATGCACCTGTTTCTATTAAGTAGGAAGAAATTCTACTGTGTAGGTGTCTTGTTATGTAGTCATTCCCAGTCGAGATGAATCACATCTAATTGTTGACAACTAAAATTAGAACCAACACTTCGTTGCCCTATTCTGTTCATATATCAGAACACTACTAAGTTTAAAGGAAATTATGCAGCGAGACAATACATAACTCATATTCTTAAAGAATTTTAACTACCATACACAAAAAAGTTCCTTTCTCTTCACATCAATTCTTTCCAATTTTCTTTCTTTCTAAAGAGCTAACTAGTAGAAGACAGTAAAAATGTGGACTAAAAAGTTTTAGATAGAGAATTAAGAAATTTTCTTCTAAACAGGAAGAAATCTAGCTAGCAAACAAAACCAGCAATGCTAAACAAGTATATATGTACAGAACAGGACTTGTTATATTTGGTCCATGAATATTCAAGACAGAATAAAAATGGTTTTGACTCATGATCTCTTTTTAATTGAAGGGAAATTTAATCATAAAAAGCTGTTACGATCTAGAAAGCAGTACATCTATACATAAAGGAGGAAGACATTTCAAACACACAACATCCATCAGCTTTACTTGAACACCCAACTGAAAATTTCAAATATTGGAAGAAGTAACTGAAAAAGTAAAAATGATGTTTAAAAACCCAAAACTTTAAGAACATAATTATTGTCACATATGAGAAGCACTAAATAAGCAGAAAAGTCACGTTTATGTTGCTTAATCCTGCTTCCATGTATACTCTACTATTAACTATATGAGGTAGCAATCTCTCATAGGAATAAATAATATTAAATTCGTACATCTATAAGGCACCTTGGAAATAAAGCTGTTTTGTATTATTTAGGTAAAAGGTAAGGCTTTGGATGCAAGCTATGCCTTGATTTTTTTTCCTTCTCAAATAGACAAAAGATTTAAAATTTAAATAAATATTAAAAAAAAATAAATCAGGTCTTACTTAATATTAAGGGCAATACAATAAGACGAGAGATCCGATTTTCAGATAGTGTGGCCTGTAATTTAATTTAAAGCTATGGTATGACTTTGAAAAAAATCCATACTGCTATTAATGATGGCTCAACTGGTCTGCTTTTCTGCCTACACTTGAAAAAACCTAAAAAAATACTCCTCAGAGTTTCCACAAAAAACTATGCAGAACTACATAAAGAAATTAAAAGCTGAATTGAAATTCTGTCTTAACTACATTAGACATTTCTCTGTTATTGTTTTAATCAAGCATATTAAGTATGGTTATTTAGCTTAAAATTAATAAAGAAAGTTTATTTACTTTCTACAGTGCTCCCATAAAAGTGAAGTTAAAAAAACCATTGAAAGCCATTTTACCTTTGCATGCCATGCGGTTTTTTTGAAGGTTGTAGCCTATTGTACACACACAAGTCCTGGTGGTTTCTGACGTTGGTAAACAAAGTTGGGAGCATCCACCATTGTTTAACTGACAGGAATTGCTACCTATAACATGATGGGAGAAGAGACAAGAGCAAACAAAATTTGAACAGTGCAATTCTGACTAAAAATGAGTGTTGGCGTCAATTTATAAATATTTTCAAAATCAAATTTTTTTCAACTAACTTCTTTGAAAAATTAAGATACTTCTAAAATATTTCAGGCTATCCTACTATTCGTATGTTTTTCGACTCTTCACTGGTATAGTACTGTACTGGTACAGTTTTATCTACGTGTTTCAAATCGTGGGTTTTTTCCTTAGAATACTTTTTCAAAATAACTGCTTTCTGAAGGAGAATCTGCCTCTTTTAAAGTAAAAGTATATGATAAAACTGAAAATATCACATGAAGTTTTTGAGTATCAATGCTGGAATCTCACAGACATTAGTCTAGAAGATGTATCTTACTCTAAACCATGAGCAAATCATTGATCATATTGTATTAATTCATCAAATATTATATTAGCCTCACATCTTCATGAACCATTTTGTTTAGTATTGCTCCAATGTGATCTCACAGATCCATGCTCCTGCTTCTTAATTAAAACATGTCTTTTTAAGTTATAGATTAACATTTTTTAATAAGATTTGCAATAAACATTATACACAGTACAATAAACACACCTCAGAAATTTGAAGCTTCATGAAAAAACATTTAAGTCTACTACCACATTCAAAGAATTAATTGATTACAGGTTACCAAGCCCGTATGAATCAGAGAGCTCCTTGTCACATTTATTTTTGCATTTCTAATTTTGAAGTAGAGAGAATTTCTTCATCTAAAATCGTAGATGTTTTCTAATGATCCAACCATACAAATGGAATAGAGAGGTGAGGTTTCAGTGTCTCAGGTAACCTCAGACAAAGGTCATATTTGAATACAAAGAAATCTGTAAGTGCCCTCACATCACATTTGCTCTCACGTCACTTTGATTTAATGAAATGCAAGATGTATACGAAATATGCAAAAAACTGTGCAAGTGTAAAGCTGAATCACATCTACAGTGTTTAATTCTTCTATCAAAAACCCTGACGTTGCTCTGTCAAAATATAGATCAGCAAGGTGACACTTCACTACACAACTTCAGGGCTCTCATTACGGTTAAAGTTCAGTAATACAGAAAGACAGAACTGTTCTTTTTCTTGACTTCTGTAAAATGGAAGAGGTATATTAATGCCACAGACACCAAATATTGCTAACATGGCAAAGCACCTTTGGTGTTTCCTAGAGTAGGTAAAGTGACAAGTGTTCCTAGAAGTCCTCAATATGGAACTGAATTAATGTACTCCGTATGTATGGAGACTACTCATTGTCCATGAGATATTAGACAGCTCAGCTCCATCCTGTGTTCTTTTGAAACCTTCTCCACAAAACATAAATATTTGATTCACGCAGATCACATCCTCGTCGCTTTCAGTGTGACCATCAACACTTTGAAAGCAGTCGGAATCAGAAGTAACCTCTTTCTAAAGAATCTCCCAAATGTTTTAATCTCTGATTTCCAATTTCATAAAACCGTGTGCATGACCCCAAACTACACTTTCATCTTAGTTCCCACTTTACCAACTAAATTTTGCAGTATTAGCAATACCACCTCATTTTTCTGTCACACTTTTGATTTATACTACTGTCACTTCCGTCAATTTAGATGAATTAAACTGTCTGAAACAAATACATAATTAAGAATATTAATAAATTCTCTCATAATACTTCACTTAAAATTTCAATAATTTGAGATAAGGTTCACGCACTAAACGATTTTTTGATTAAAATTTTAAAATTAGATTCTCTAAAATATCTTCAAACATCACTATAGTGTAAAGTTCAGAAAACGTGATTAATTACAATACATCAGGTAGATATTCTAAATTAATTACCCTATTAAATTCAGTAATTTATTCAATAATAAAATATTTTATAGTATTTTATCACTGAATCACAATGAAATACAAATTATTTTGTTCTAGTCATGTTTGGAGAACAACACGGGAAAAGATACTATGCAGCCTAAAAGTTGGTTAAACATGCTTCGAATTTAACATACCTTGCTGTGCTGCTTTATCATACACTTTCATATGTACAACGCCTGAAGTCTTGTTTCGCAGGACCGTTGGATTTCTTCCATCTCTTTTGTTACAGGTACCGATCTGTGCTAAGTTTTGGTCTGCCCACCAAAGCTTTTTATCTGTAAAATTTTCAATTTTTAAAAATTAAGAGGATCACTATAAAATGATATATGTTCAAAACCTAAGATGGTAAAAAAATAAGAAAAACTGCTAAAATAAGAAATATTCTTCCTTTTTTTTTATTTTAAAAAGACAAATTTTGGATTTATAATTTTTTTTTCTCTTTACTTGATAGGTTTTCTACACATTTTTAAGTGGAAAAACTGAACTATGCCCAATTTATAATGGAAGGTTACTAAACCTTATTCATAGATCATATATCAGTACAACAAAGGGTTTGCTCTCAAAATTTGCTACATTCATTCATCATGTATGCAGAGATGACAGGAACTCTGGTTCCAGGGTTTGGTTACTTGATGTGAGCGTTAATAATTACTACAAAATAATTAAGAACCTTTTTACTGTCTTAAAGAAATTATTGAAATTACCAGCTTACACTGACAGTAACTTTTTCATCATGATTTACACAAGATTTTAAAATAATGGGAAAAATGAGACATGCCACACATACTAGCATAAAGCTTCAAACCATCCTCTGCAATCCACACATGCAAGGTACTGGAACTCTAGTTGGAAGGACTTGTTAAATATTTATGATAGAGAATTCTCACTCAATGCACAATTGCAGTACACGCAACATTTTTCAACAGTTGGATTTCAGGTTACTTTAGTCAAAGATTTCACTGAAATTCAGACAGGATTCTAAGTGACATCAGGACGGAAATACTAAGGTGGGTCATATTGCTGTGACCATATTTGTTACTGTGCACGCAAATTTTCATTTTAAAAGAAATTAAGATACAAATGCCAATATTAATGTAAAGATAATCTTCATAACAAATTAAACAGCAGTGTATGATGACAAGCAATTTAAAAGAAATTTCAACGAACTGAAAGGTATGCATGAGATGTATATTCTCTACTTCATTTCACTTACACCACTTCAGGAACATGTTATTTTTGAAGCTCCATTAACATAACTTAAATATCAACATTAGAGATCTCTTTAATTTTATTCAGAAATATACAACACGGTGTTATCAGTTCATCAGTTTGAGACTTTGACTCATTACCTGCTGGAATTAACAAAAGAGCCTCTTCAAATAAAGAGCTTGCTAGTTTTTTAATCATCTAATGAAAGCTAGTATGATGCCTCAGCGTCTATGGTTTATAATTTCTTTAAGGTAATAAACTTCACTACTTTTCCTCAAACCAGTATTGGGGTGATATTTACACCAAGTTTTGAGTATTTCCTGTTTCATACTGTCACTTGATATTGTACAAATGGGCTACAAAATAAGTTGCAAGAACCACAAAGTGAAAAGAAAAAAGCAAAGATGACCTATCACGAAAAACAGCAAGAGGAAATAGTGCAAACAGAAGAAAATAATACAACATATGCCATTTTGAAAACCCTCCCAGTAGCTCTCAGAAAATTTTTATTCCCTATTCCTAAGGCTTGGAAGACAGAATAAGTAAAAATAGGGGAAATCGGAAGAAAGCTAGAAATTCCTATTCCTAAGGCTTGGAAGACAGAATAAGTTAAAAATAGGGGAAATCAGAAGAAAGCTAGAAATGGTCTTCACTCTCGTGGTACTTCTTTATACCCTATACATACAGAAGGTCAAAGTTATCAGCTTTACTGTAGCTCTGAAGGATGACAGCAAGATCACAGAACAGCCTTCTACAACAGCTATGTCTTGTCAGTGTTTCAATGAAGATGCTGTGTTGACAACAAAAAGAGCTCTGTAGCATGGCAGTGTTTCAATGAAGATGCTGTGTTGACAACAAAAAGAGCACTGTAGTATGACACCACTACTTGTATTGGCCATGCTGTCAGAGACATAGTCAAGTGTCATAGATCAAGGGTGCCCAAGGACTGCTCATCCTTATATCACATCTAAGACTATTCCAACTTGAGAATCAGGGCACTGAAATCATAGAATGGTTTGAGTAGGAAGGGACCTATGAAGATGCTGTGTTGACAACAAAAAGAGCACTGTAGTATGACACCACTACTTGTATTGGCCATGCTGTCAGAGACATAGTCAAGTGTCATAGATCAAGGGTGCCCAAGGACTGCTCATCCTTATATCACATCTAAGACTATTCCAACTTGAGAATCAGGGCACTGAAATCATAGAATGGTTTGAGTAGGAAGGGACCTCAAAGATCATCTAGTTCCAACCCCCCTGCCATGGGCAGGGACACCTTCCACTAGACCAGGTTGCTCAAAGCCCCATCCAACCTGACCTTGAACACTTCCAGGGATGGGGCAGCCACAGCTTCTCTGAGCAACCTGTTCCAGTGCCTCACCACCCTCAGAGGGAAGAATTTCTTCCTCAGATCTAATCTAAATCTACTCTCATCATGCCATCAAATCAGTTATGACATGCTTTTGTGACTTGTCATGTGCCAAGTGAAAAGAACACAACCTTTACATCTCACATAAGCAGGCACCAGCATTGCACACTCGAGGTGGGATCATTTGTATAACTCAAAGTAACATATTCTATACAAATATCTTCCATGAGGTACATGGCAACGGCTCAGCTTAGAGGAAACTAAAGAACACACTGCAATTGCAAAAATGTATTTCTGAAAGGCAAGGAAACTTTTGTCAGATCCAAAAGAACAATAAAAACAGTAATGATGCAATTGCAAAAATGTATTTCTGAAAGGCAAGCAAACTTTTGTCACATCCAAAAGAACAATAAACACAGTAATGACCCTCATCGACTAATTTTACCAGACTAAACACTTGAGAACTTAAACTTGCTTCCAAAACCAGGACTCAGCCAACTCATAGGGACTGAATGTTCACAGTGAAGAGCTCCTTACTCAACCAATGCAAGTCCTTCAGTTGGTTCCCTTACACCTCATCGACTAATTTTACCAGACTAAACACTTGAGAACTTAAACTTGCTTCCAAAACCAGGACTCAGCCAACTCATAGGGACTGAATGTTCACAGTGAAGAGCTCCTTACTCAACCAATGCAAGTCCTTCAGTTGGTTCCCTTACAACATAATTCATAGATTCATAGATTTCTAGGTTGGAAAAGACCTTAGAGATCATCGAGTCCAACCATCCCTAATCTTCTCATTTTTATCATAACTTATTTCAGCCAGATTGTTCCCATTACTCATGAATCTCAATAATTGCTGGAAGCAAAGCAAATCAGTCCTTTCTTGTCTGGGTGAGATTGAAACACAGAGCATACAGAAAACAGCCAATGGTAACTCTTAATGTCATCCTTCAGACATTGCATAAAACCATTATTTCAGTGAAGAACTCCCTGATGTTTCTAGCTGTAGACAAACAAATCCAATGCAAAGCACTGCCAGCTGTTTCTATCATTGTAATGGGAAAAACATCCTGTATTCTACTTTTCAGAGACTTGAGACACTTCCATTAGTTTTTGATAACTATTTAAAACCTTTGGAAAAATCAATGCACAGAGCTAACATAACCTTTGTCAAAATACAGATTTCCTTTTGAAGTGAAACCAAGAACACCCATATGCCATACTTCCTTGATGAACTCAAAAGCCACTCCATATAAAATCTGGTCTGACTGAGCTCCAGTATCTTGCAAAATAGCAGAATGATTGACTGGCTGAATCCCTTTGATTTGCTGGCAGCCAGATGGCCATACAGCACATGTGCTGGCCAGCCTATCACTTCATGTGTAGCTCCACAGTGGCAACAGTCTGTGTTTTGTTTTGACACAGAGAAGATGCAGAATGGAGTGGAGAGAAAGAAGGGGAGAAATTTAAGGAATATGTGACAAAAATGGGGTATTTGTGATAGCAAATTGCGGAACTGTGAATAGGGGAAGGCTCTACAAGTGCTCGCAGTTGTGCAGAAGAGCAGGAGAGAAACTGGAGTGAGGTCTTAGGGTGAAAGATGATGGTGGGGTATTGCACTGGAGGTATTATGGAGAGAAGGTTATAGAGAGAAGTTACAGTATTATTAAGATGCAGGAGACATGAAAACAGTCTTCACCAGTTTTACTTTTGCTGCAACAACCGCTGATTTGAGGCTGCTTCCAGAGAAAACCCTAAATTAAAATGCCTAGTAAAATATGGAAATTCTACTGACTTGACTCCAGGGAAGGAATTCGTTTTCACAAGTGAATAAAATTGCTTGTAATGCTAAAATGCATTTTTCACTAAAAACAAGTTACAATCAATGACTAAGAAATTATGGAAAAAAAGAAAAGCAGGCTCTACCTCCCAAGGCATCAGAGGATGTTTTTAAACAGCCTTGATATTAAATTCAAACTCCAATGAACTTACGGCCAAACACTGACACAGAAACCATAGCCAGTCTTCTGATTTTAAGTCCTTAACACAGTAGTCCTCTTTGTCTCTAGGGTACACACAGATGTACGATGGGACGGCCTCAGTGTCCCTGGTTGACAAGTTTCACAGTCCTTAACACATTTCACAGTGCCTGGTTTCTCCTTTTCTTTGAATGCCAGAACACCCTACCTGAGTCCTCAGGCCCTGAGGTCCCAAGATTTAAACAGTACAATGACCTCCTTCAAGCTCATTATGGGTTATCAGTTTCTCCTGACTTAGTCAAGACAATCACCTTAGTGACTTGCCAACACTCTGTAGCTCACTATTTCAAAAAGAAGCTATAGATTTTTATATGATGAATTTAAAATTATACTTCTGAGGATCCACAGCTGAGGATCTATATTCTTCCTATATTCTGGTATTGCAAAGAAATTTAAGCTATTTTGTTAGTAAAAATTAATCAATCAAATAAAACATTAGCCTTCTAGGAAGTTTCAGTAAAGAAACAAGGTTTCATTGTCTCATCTCTGTTACATTCTCTCAGTTAACAAAGCAGTTTAAAAATAAGTGGAAGCAATTTCCCTCTGCTCCTAGTTTTTTTGAAAAGTAACTGTTTTAAATAACCTAAACTAGCTAACAGTTTAACACTATATTACCTCAGACCTAGATTTGACCAATAGTCTCAAGAGCAACA